CTAAAGATTTTGTAATTAGTCTCCTGGTCCTGATTAAATTTCTCATGAGGGCCTGTCTTACATATGTCTCTGATGAAACAAATACTCTTTTTAATTTTCCAGAATAGTATTGTGGAATTATTCAGGTTGGAAAAGGCCTCTAAGATCATCTAGTCCAACCTTTAACCTAGTACTAAAGTCTACCATTAAACAATGCCACTAAGTTCTAAATCTAAGCTTCTAAATCTAAGTTTCTTGAAAACCTCCAGGGGTGGTGACTCAACCACTTCCCTGGGCAGCCTATTCCAATGCCTAACAGCCCTTTCCGTGGAGAAATTTCTCCTAATATCCAACCTAAACCTCCCCTGGTGCCACTTGAAAACGTTGCCTCTCATTTTATCACTTGGTGCTTGGGAGAAGATCCCAGTTCCCACCTCTCTACAACTTCATTTAAGGTAGCTTTGGAGTACAATAATGTTTCCCCTGAGACTTCTCTTATCCAAGCTATACAACCCCAGCTCCCAGCCACTCCTCATAAGACTTGTTCTGTAGACACTTCACCAGCTTCATTGCCCTTCTTTAGACACACTCCAGCACCTCAATGTGCTTCTCATAGTGAGGGGCCCAAAACTAAGCACAGTATTTGAGGTAAGGTCCTACCAGAGCTGACTATAGGGGGACAAACATTTCCCTTGTCATCGAATCATAGAATGGCTCAGGTTGGAAGGGACCTTAAAGATCATCTAGTTCCAACCCCCCTGCCATAAGCAGGGATGCCACCCACTAGATCGGGTTGTTCAGGACCTCTTCTAACCTGGCTTTGAACATCTCTAGGGGTGGGGCATCCACAACTTCTCTGGGGAACCTGTTACAGCGCCTCACCACTCTCACAGTGAAGAATTTCCTCCTAACCTTTAATCTAAATCTCCCTACTTTTAGTTTAAAAACGTTCCCTTTTTTCCTGTCACTATCTGATTGAGCAAAGAGTTGCTCTCCATGTTTTTATTTTAAGTCCCCTTTAAGTACTGAAAAGCCGCAGAGAGGTCACCCTGGAGCCTTCTCTTCTGTAGGTTGCATGTCACTAACTCTCTCAGCCTTTCTTCATAGGAGAGGTGCTCCAGCCTCTTGATCATCTTTGTGGCCCTCCTCTGGGCCCATTCTAACAGCTCCACATCCTTCTTGTGCTGGGACCTCCAGACCTGGACACATTATTCCCAAATGAGGCCTCACAAGGGCAGAGTAGAGGGGAACAATCGCTTCCCTCGCCCTGCTGACCACTCCTCTGTTGATGCAGCCCAGAATGCAGTTGGCCTTCCATGCTGCAAGCGTGCACTACCAACTCACGTCGAGCTTTTCGTCTACCAGCACCCCCAAGTCCTTCTCTGCAGGGCTGCTCTCAATGAGTTCTTCTCCAGTCTGTGCTCATGTCTGGGATTGCCCTTGCCCAGGTGCAGCACCCTGCATTTAGACTTGTTGAGCCTCATTAGGTTCACGTGGGCCCAATTCTCAAGCTTGCCCAGGTCCCTTTGGATGGCATCCCTTCCTTCTTTATCAACCACACCACTCAGCTTGGTTTCATCTGTGAACTTGCTGAGGGTGCACTCAATTCCACTGTCTACATCATTGATAAAAATATTAAACAGTACTGGTCCCAGGACAGACACCTGAGGGACACCACTCATCACCAGCCTCCACTTGGACATAGAGCCATTGATTGCCACTCTCTGTGTGCGATCTTCAAGCCAAATCCTTATCCACTGAATGGTCCACCCATGAAATCCGTATCTCTCCAATCTGGAGACCAGGATGTCACGTGGAACCATGTCAAAGGCCTTAGAGAAGTCCAGGTAGATGACATCGGTTGGTCAATAGTCCTGCTGGCCATGTTATTTCTGATACAAGCCAGGATGCTGTTGGCCTTCTTGGCTACCTGAGCACACTGCTGGCTCATACTCATCTGACTGTTGACCAATATACCCAGGTTCCTTTCTGCTGGGCAGCTTTACAGCCTGCATCATTGCCTGGGGTTGTTGTGCCCCAAGTGCAGGACCTTGTACTAGGCCTTGTTGAACCTCATGCAGTTGACCTCAGCCAATCAGTCCAGCCCATCCACATCCCTCTGCAGAGCCTTCTTACCCTCAAGCATATCAACCCTTGTGCCTAACTTGGTGTTGTGTGCAAGCTTACTGAGGGTGCACTCAATCCCCTTGTCCAGATCATTGATACAGATACTGAAGAGAACTGGTTCAAATATGAGCCCAGGGGACACCATGGTGACCGGCTTCCAACTGCATTTAACTCCATTCACCACGACTCCTTGGGCCTGGCTATCCAGTTTTTAACCCAACGAAGCATACGCCAGTCCAAGCCATGAGCAGCCAGTTTCTCAAGGAGAATGCTGTGTGAAATGGTGTCAAAAGCCGTATTGAAGTCTAGGTAGACCACATCCACAGCCTTTCCCTCATCCACTGAGATGTCATCTTGTCACAGAAGGAGATCAGGTTCAACAAGCAGGACCTGCTTTTGATAAACCCATGCTGACTGAGCCTGATCACCTGGTTGCCCTGGAAGTGCTGCATAATGGCACGCAGGATCATCTGCTCCATGAGCTTCCCTGACACTGAGGTCAGACAAACAAGGCCTGTAGTTTCCTGGGTCCTCCTTTTTCAGCCCTTCTTGTAATATCTTCCTGAAGGGAAGGAAAAAAAAAAAAAGGGAGGGGGAATACGGGAGGAGGAATTGTAACTGTTACATAAACTTCTCCAGATATCTCACCTGTGGAAATACAAAAGAACTAAGGTGACCAAAGATTTAAGTGATGCTATTAATTTGTGGATTTGGGAGTCTTCTTATGGGAGTGTGGACAGCTTATCCTGGGTAGGGAGCAGTGGCTTACAAACTCTTAATAGTGTAAGTGCTGTGGAAACCTTAAGTAGAAAGATTACTGACAGTATAAAAAAAAAATAAACGGGAAATATTTATTGAACACTGGAGGGGTAGCTGTAATAATTCTAAAGTTTTATAGATCTTTTGGCAGGAGTTTTGTAAGTTGAGGCTTAATAAGTTAGGGTTTCTCAACAAAACTGAATCCAAAACAGATGTGAATGGAAGAAGAATCAAAAAAAAAAAAAAAATTGAGAGGTAAGAGAAGAAATAGCTTTTTACTTTCATAGCTAGTGCTGATCACAGAACAAGATCAGACTGCTCTAAGCAGTCAGAGAAGATTAAAAGCAGTCTAGATCTAGTATGCCTAGACACAGGATGGTAAATTAAATACACTTATGATATTTGTAATAAGAAAACCTCATATTATTTTTTCATAAGAAAAGATGAATTTGGCCCCAGAGCAGCATTTCTCTGGCACTTCACTCATGTTTGTATAGTTTCCTGCTGGCAGGCACAATGACATATGCACTTTCTCTCAACATTAAAGGCTTGCAGAAGATCTAATGTGCTGGCCACATACTACTTAGTTCCTGACATCTTAAAATATCATAGTTTCAATGTTAAGGTTATTTACGTTACCTTTATAAAATTGTATTGTATAACATTCTTTCTAGTAGTATATATATAATCTTATTTTTAATTTTGCTGTATCCCATGACTAGTATTTTTTCCCAGTCATTTATTGGAATACCATCTCTTTATTTATTTATTAAAAACAAAAACAAACAAACAAAGATACACAAAAAAGCCCAAAACTTCCAGGAAAGAGGGTGAGAGAGAGAGTTGTCTCTCTTCAATGGTTATGGCAATAAAAATACCAAAACATATGGCAGAGCAAATGACAGCACTGAAGGCCATTATGTCTCATGACTACAGTGATTTGAGGGGGAAGAAAATGAGTGGAATCATCTGTAGTGCCAACAGCTGCCATCCATGCCATACTGAGTGGTTTCTATAAATTTTCTGATGGATGATAGACCAAGGCTTTTTATGCTGATGATAAATCAAATGTTTTAATTTTAATAGCCAGTGTGTCTGCTGTTTCTGTGCTACGTTATCTAGATGTTGGTATCTCTAATTTGGATGGTAACTGGGGGCTTGATAAAGGAACTCTGGTTTGGAAAAGATGGTAACCCAGTTGTCAAATCTCTAGCATGCTTTCTAGGAGGTGCAGCTTGTAAACATGTTTTGCTTTAGCTAATTTGCCAAGAGATCGTATTTGGCTGTGAAAGCAAATTTACTATGAAAACTTGGAACGATTCTATACTTTGTTAAGAAAATGCTTTGGAGAGCTTCATTTACATGTTATTTACAACATTGTGGTGGTGTGACTTTGTGGAATGATGGCAAAACTGAAGCTGGCTTGGTATTTAGCTAAAAACGAATGAATCCTCTCCTGTAAAAGAGTTGTCCTGGATTATGTTAGCTATCATAAATATCCTTCACATAGCAACAAGGATGGCATTCAGGATATCAAGCCAACTGGAAAGAATCCCTTTTACAAGGCTCCGTTTGGGGTGGGTGGATAAGCTTTCCTGACAACAGTAGTGCTTTCTCTCCTGTCTGTCATAATTTGTGTTGCTAGGATCTTGTGACAGACTTTTAAATGATATTGTGGTTCCTTTTGTTTACTGTCAAAAGAACCATAATGTGGGGAAAATGAACAATAAAGGGATATGGAAAATAATAATAATAAAATGCAAGCACATGAGACCATGATAATAAATACTCAGACTGCTGGCTGCTCTTAAAGTGGAAAAAAGTTAAAAGAATTTCTGTTGGATTGCTGAATTGGAAAGCAATATATGGTAACATTCCACTTCTTTTCTTCACTTTTTCTGAACTTGGCTTCTTCAGCAAAACAGGAAAAAATTGCTTTATGTAGTCATAAACTGTAAACTTCAATTGGAATTCAGGAGACTTCCCATGTATCATGTTAAACATTAATGGTACAATGCATTTTTATTCACGAACATAATTCAAATTCCTGCTTCCAGATCAGCTTTTAAATATAAATTGGTAGTTTCATTATCAGCCCTCTCAGTCCATTTGACCTTTTGTATTTGTGCTTCCAGGGGAAAAAGAAGATGAACAGATAGTTGCAGAAATCATGAGAAGACGTTTTTTTCCTACTGTTATAACTCATAAGGCCTGGGAAGGCTTTTACTTTGCTGGCCATGAGATAAGGATTACAGAAGCCACTGACTGTTACGGGGCAGTTGTCTGGCCATCGGTACAAAATTTACATTGTATTGTTATTTTTCAGTTTTGGAGTATTCTAGTACTATTTATTTATTTATTTATTTTTCATGATAAATGTTTTGTTGCATGTCGTGAAACCAAGGAAAAGATTTTAAGCTTTCTCTGTCTCCATTCTGCAACCCCCAAACCTGAATTTAGCCTTGTTTCCCATGTATTCTTGGTTTCCTGTGTATTCTTGGTTCTCAAAGCTTAAAAGATTATTTCTTGGTTGTGCCCCTGTCACATTAGATGTGTGCTCTGATGTCCCTTCCCTCTTCTGCCAAAAACTTTTGATCCCACTGGCCAATTAGAAGCAAACTTTGAAGGAAATATGGTGGTCTTGAGATAATTACATTTCTGAACATTTCTTAAATATTTGGCTATATAGCAAGCAGATCTAGGTTGCAGAAACAGTTGTGATGTGAGCTCACAAGGTATTAACACTCACACAAGTTATTTGACCTACTCACGTGAAAAAGAAATTTACCCTGTGAATAGGCGGCCATGGGAAGAGATTCACTCAGAGCTTCCAGTTTCATAAACAGCAAGACATCTGTGTGGGAGTGAACCCTTGTCTTCAGGAAATATCACTCATGGCTCTTGATATCATAGAATTGTAGAATGATTTAGTTTGGAGGGGACCTTAAAGATATAAGAACTATCAACATATCTACCACAGAAAGAACATTCTCTAAGGTTTTGAACATGTGCAATAGAGCTAATAGTCTTTGAATAGCTAATTTAAAAGAATTAAGAGTGAAAAAACTGCTGCAGCCAGGGAGGTGCCATGATACACTATTGACACTTGTAGTAGTCAGAGAACTCTGAAATGGGAAGGATCTCTGGGAGCTCCTATAGGATGGAGGGGACTAAAACCCAAGAGGCTTCATTGATGTCCCTACAGTATCAGCCTGTGACACAGTACTATGTTTGAGAAGTATGGCCATAATTCAGCCAAAGAGTTAGCATAAACTGCTGCTTTGAATTCCAAACACTTTTCCTTCTCTTAGCAGAACTGGACAAGTCATTTACACAGTATCTCTTAGCAGCCTCAGTGCATGTCTTCAAGGCAAGGTTGGCTGACTGTCAAACATTCTCATTCAGTACAGCCTCTCAAGGGCTGTACTGAAAAGCATGTTTTATGTTTATTTTTATTTTATTTTTTATTTTATTTTTTTCTGTGAAAGTTTAGTTAGTTTTGCTGTGGAAGGAAGGCAATCCCTCTCTGTCTCTTCAAATTCTCCCTTCCTCTTCCATCCTGAACTATTTGAAATCTGAAAAATGTCAACCAGATTTGTCAAGAAGGCAGAAACTTTAAGGAAAATAAAGCTTCTGCATGATTCATGGAAAGGAAGTTGGGTTACATAGGTTCTGTAACAGCAGAATATGGCAAGACACTGAGAGAAAAAATGGTACTCCTAATATATGGAACTAACAAGAAATCTTAATAGGATGTGTTTTAGAAAGTCAGGCAATCATCAGATACAATTTGTAGGAACCTTGTGCTCACAAGTTTATTTCACAGCTTTGCTGATTACGAGATATCTGCAAGTTCATATAAAAGACATTGATTTTTGGTCTGAGTTGAGGCAGAAAGCAAAAAGTTTGAATTTCTAACACTTACTGAATCAATATTCCTTCTGCTGCTTTCCTTCTATTTCTTATTCTGTTAAAGAATAAGAAATATTCTGTTTAAGAGCTTAATTTTGGAGTACCAAACTGAACCACTTATAGTTGTCTTCCCAAGAGGTCATCTGTACTGCCAGATGATGTGGCAACCAAAACACATATTTGTCAATGGAGAACACTTTTCCAAGTGTAGGAAACAAGAAGTGGGAGAAGCTGGAAACTATCTTTGTGAGAGGAATGAAAGTAGTGATTAGTATTTCTACACTGGTCAGTGTGAGACAGGACAGAAAAGCTGGAGAAGCTTCTTAGTCACAGTTTATGAATGCATATGTAAGGAATCAGCTGTAGAGTGCTAAGTGGTTTTGTTTGCTAGAAAGATTTGTTATGCTTAACAAAGCACACATTAAAACTGAACTGAAAGCATAGGGGTAAATCTATTGGCCCCTTTTGAATCATTATGGTAATTAATTATTGTTAGTAATAATTACCTATTGGAAAAGTCTATCAAGACTTGTGGATTTTCTCTCACAAGCAGTACTTATATCAAGAAGTCTTTGTGAAGGACACATTTTAACTCAACCAGAAGTAAGTGCAGTTATAAGCAGGAATTGCTGACTGGAATTTTACAGCTCATGTTATGCAGCGTGACAGATTAGATAATTGCAGTCATTCCTTCTGGCTGTAATGCTTTGCAAGCCTATATTGAAGCATGTAGTAGCATTTATTTTGTCAGCCTATAGAGCTCAAAGATCATAGTGAGTCGTGATCCTTTCAGGACAAGGTTTGAATGAATATTGCTCATTTGAGAAGGCATGAAATTACAAAACATTTTTTGCATGCTTATAAATTACTGTGCATATTTAGTGAAGGTTTTTATTTCATTTATTTGTTCAGTATATTCATGGATTCCCTCCCCTGCAGGCTCTTGTTCTGTGTTATTTTTTGGAAACCAATTCTAAACAATACAATTTGGTTGACAAAAATGTGATTGAAATTGGAGCTGGAACTGGGTTGGTCTCCGTAGTAGCCAGTTTATTGGGTGAGTATATACCATTGCTCCTCAGCTCTTGGAAACACCTCTAATACGAATACTGGAGGGCTCAGTTCCTCTAAAATACAATTGTTTGAAATCTAAGAGAAAGAAAAAGTGAATTCCAGCAGGGTTGCTTGGAAACCTGTTCTGTTATTTTCGGCTGTAAAACTGTAAATTCATGGGTGCAGTAAAAGCAGGTCCCTGTAGATGATGTTGCCATTAGCAATGTCAAGCAGGAGACCAAAATAAGAAATTAGTGACCTGACAAGATGTCAGAGGCAACAGGATGAAGCCAGATGCAGGCATGACCAATGCATCACCTTCCATTGATCGAACATCTCTTTGATGCCAGCTCACTTCCTTTGCATTTGTGTTCAGCAATTCCTTTGAGCAACTGATCCTTGAGTTTTCTGCTACAGACACTGTTGTATTTTCTCTCATAGCAGCCTGACCTTTTTGTAGAGTAATCCAAATCAGCAAGTCCTGCATTTTAACTGAATTTTAGCTTTCAATAGTCTGAGAAAGCTTCTTTATATGTTGAAGGGAAAGAACCTGAGGCAATACCTAGATCTCGTTCTTTCTGGAGTTAGTAACTGGCAATCTTCAATCCCTAATCTCTCACCGTACTTCTAACCAAAATGATATCAAGACACAGATAGTATTTGATTTCCCCACAACCATGCCCAGCTGCATTTAGATGGCAATCTGTAGAGTATAACTACTGTAAACCAAATATTTATTTTAAGCACAATGTCTAAGAGCTACTGGGAGCTGTTACAGTGTTCTGTTCCCCCCAGTGAGAGCTACCAACTAAAATCAGTTCCTCGTGCTGTGTGTTTTGAGAATGGGCTTTTACTCAATATTGGAGTATATTCAAAGATTACATTTGTTTTCTTCCTTTCACAGGTGCACTTGTGACTGCCACTGATTTGCCAGAACTGCTGGGAAACCTTCAGCACAATGTTCTCCAAAATACAAAACTGAAAAGCAAGCACCGGCCTTGTGTGAAGGAGTTGTCTTGGGGCATTGATCTGGAAAAGAACTTTCCCAGAGCTTCGTGTCACTTTGACTACATTATGGCTGCTGATGTAGTTTACCATCATCCCTTCCTGGATGAGCTCCTGCTAACTTTTGATCACTTGTGCAAGGATGACACTGTTATTCTGTGGGCTATGAAATTTAGGTTGGACAAGGAGAACCAATTTGTGGGCAGATTTCAGACACTATTTGACTTAGAGGTGCTTTCTAATTTCCCTAGTTTGAACATCACGTTGTATAAGGCAATGAGGAAAGGCAGGATGAAAGTCAGACCTTCCAAACTGTCAATCTGAAAAAGAGTTACATGGGGGCAACAGTCTCAGCTCTTCTGTAGCTTGTTCTCTTTTCAATAATTTCCATGTTAGCAGCTGCCAGTACCTGCATGAATGATATTTTTAGAGAAAGTTAAAATATCAGATTTCATCCCTAAAGAATTGCTAAATTCATCTTGTTAGTTTTATACACAGAAGAAATGTATTTCTGATGCTTTCTTGACTTTTATGTGCTAAATTGTCAGCAGTAATAACTGCCACAAGTCTCACTATTATATCCGTGGGATGTGTAATGAATATTTCCAATGTCTTTCAATTGCAGCTTTGAACGGTGTCTTACAAGATCAACCAATCATTTGAAGATTTACCACAGTCTCAAGTTTTGTATTTAAAAGTTGTGGTGTTAAATCTCATCTTTCCTCATTCCCACTACAGTGTGTAAATCCTTCCTTTAAAGAGCCTTTACAGGACATTAAGTTAACTAAAAGGAAAAATGGGAGAAATACTGTCATAATAAAATGAGAGAATATATTGGTTACTCTGATTTAATGATTATGCTTTCCTCCCTTTCCACTTTATATTTAGATTCAGGGATTATTCAACGGACAGCTGCACACATGAGGCAATAGGGAGTTAAATGTTTTGTTGCTTGCAAAAAGGTATTGAATAAGAATAGTATGTCGTATCCACAGCTCCCCTTTGCAAACATCTGAAATTCTTGGAGGTCTGCCCCTCTGAAAATAGACCATTATCTGGGGCTCAGGGAACAATGGAAAAACGACAGTGGCCATCAAGAGAAGTGTTTTGCAGTGCCGGCTGGTGGTGAGTAGAGGTAGAAAACCAAACCAGCGTGACATGGTGTGCCTGAGACATAGGCAGACTTGGGGTTTTTGTCAGGTCAAACAAAATATTTTCTCCTCACCACTCAGCACAGTGTGTTCCTGATTTTAGAGGTCAGATTAACATACTTGAAGGCAGTCAGATAGCTTTCTTTTGGGAAGATTAATAAAATGATTCTTTGGACATCATAAAATTTCAGATTCAGTTTGTAATTGTCTGTGAAAAAACTTCAAGTCCCCTGTTGTCTAGAGAGGCAAGCCCAGCTTGTGTGGTAACATCCATGCAGAGCTTTACCACCTCTGCTGCAACAAGCAATTCTTTCAGCAGTATGAGGGCTCTGTGTGCAGTCAGCCTACCTTTTTAACTCCTCTTGTACTTCCTCCTGAGGTGTTTTGATATTAAATGTGAGCATTTTTTAATGGTGACTTCTAGAACATACTAGTGTTTGTAACTCTTCCCATGACTGATACTTGTCATTTATTTACTTTGAAGCCTGGAGAAAAGTACTGAGCAGAACTGTGATAAATGAGTGACAACTGGAATGTGCTCTTACTCCCAGCCTAATATTTGGATTTTGGGGACAAAGGTTCCCACTGTTGAACATAAGGTGGTACAAAGGTGGACCAGCAGGGCTAGGGAGGTGATCGTCCCCCTGTACTCGGCTCTGGTGAGGCCGCACCTCGAGTACTGTGTTCAGTTTTGGGCCCCTCGCTACAAGAAGGACATGGAGGTGCTTGAGCGGGTCCAGAGAAGGGCGACGAAGCTGGTGAGGGGCCTGGAGAACAAGTCCTACGAGGAGCGTCTGAGGGAGCTGGGCTTGTTCAGCCTGGAGAAGAGGAGGCTCAGGGGCGACCTTATCGTTCTCTACAGATACCTTAAAGGAGGCTGTAGAGAGGTGGGGGTTGGCCTGTTCTCCCACGTGCCTGGTGACAGAACGAGGGAAAACGGGCTAAAGTTGCGCCAGGGGAGTTTTAGGTTAGATGTTAGGAGGAGCTTCTTTACTGAAAGGGTTGTGAGGCATTGGAACAGGCTGCCCAGGGAGGTGGTGGAGTCACCATCCCTGGAAGTCTTCAAAAGACGTTTAGATGTAGAGCTTAGGGATATGGTTTAGTGGGGACTGTTAGTGTTAGGTCAGAGGTTGGACTCGATGATCTTGAGGTCTCTTCCAACCTAGAAATTCTGTGAAAATTCTGTGAAAAAGGAGAGTCTGAGCTTCCAAGATAGGTCCAGTGGGAGCTGAGGATCCTATATCTGAAAGGAGGTGAAGAGAAAGTGGTGGGAGGGATCTGGAGGTGGAGGGAGGAGTGTAGAGAAAAGGTAGCTGTAGGAAGAAGGTGAGATGCACAAAGAGAAAGAGAAGAGGTTGCAACAGTGAGACTGACTTCAAAAAGTCTGGGCCCACTGACTCTAAGGGGGCATCCTCTGTGAGCCAGCAGAGGATGACTCTGTGATAGTACTGGAGCAATCAGTGTGTCTGAGCACAGGACAGCAGACCGAGAAGAAAGGAAGCAGAGAACATTGACTTTCTGGCTCTTCTTCTTGGAGACCATGTTTGAGAGTTTGGCTTGGAAATTGTCAATGGAAATTTTGCAGTCCCTTTCTGTTAATTTCATGTGACAAGGTTTGTAGGTAGATGCAGACTTTTTATTAGATTAACCAGTATAGCTAGAAAATTAGATGACATATGCTGGTATAAGGTATTGCCTCTACTTACAAATGTTATTCAGATTATGTCTTTAGTACATTACAGCTGTAGAAAAACACAGTACAGAAATAATATTTTTCATACTTTGGTTAACACCAATAGTTCAGAGTTTACATGAAGAGTGAGCAAACATGGATCTGCCTTTTCAAGATTTCTTCTCCACCCCCTTCCCTCCCAATTCATTTGCAACCATCAAATCCACTGCAATTGAAACTATAATCCTTGCATCCCAAAAGGCATCTCTGTTTACAAATATTTCATAGATAAATGGTTTGGCACTAGGATTGAATGGATAGAGTAAGAAGGCTCTGCATGCACCAAAATCCACCAGTGAAAATAGCTTGTGAACTACAAAGCAACGCAGACCAAGAGGAAAAGAGAGATTCCAGCAAAGTAGTAAAGAGATCACTTTTTAAAGAGCTGTTCTGCCAATGAGCCCTTCTCTTTGGTCTGCAGGTTGTTCCCTGCTGAGCTCCTGCTGAAGCCAACAGGAGCTGTGTTTGTAAAGCAAATTCAGAACTGGGCTCTTTAGGCCCAACAGCGTGGTGATATTTAGTGTAACCTAACGCTACTTCTCTTTCTCACAAGTCTGTCTAGCAACGCTGCGTGAGGCTTCCTGGGAAAGCTTTAGAGCCTGGCTGCTCTATTGTGTGGAAGCCTTTTGTCCTCCGTTATGATGGGCAGGTTATTAGCCATGACCAATGGGTGGTAGAGGTTATACGTGGCATTTGCCTGGGGAGACTTTTTCTGCTTTTTGAGAACAGGGCTCTCAGTTGAATGTCAAGTATTACAGATTCCTAAAGTCAGTCACAATTTTAATAATCATTTTCTCTTTGTTCTAATATTTCAAATGAATCAAGTTGTCATTCAGTGCATTATGTTGCTAATGCACATGGTATTTGCATCTGTAATTTCTGAAAGACTGATGAAAAAACAAGTCGGTTAAATTTGTGAGTCAAAGCTCCACCTATGAGTAATGCTAGAGAGGCTGTATAAACTTACACTTTTACAGTATATTACAGAATGTTGTTTTAATTATGTTAATTGAAGATACAAATTGGGATTCACTGGATGGGTTCAATCAATTCCTCAGATTTTCCATACTCCAACCAGTGTCTTATGGAGCAACAATACCAACAATGCATTTAAACTACTTGTCATCCACTTGTTAGTATTTGTTAAGTTTTCCATAAATTATATGCTAACTCTACAAATTTTGCATACCGGTGTTTTTGTTTACACACCAACAAACAAACATTAAAGGGATTTATTCTGCTGCTTGTTATATAACAACTCCATCAAGGTCTTTTACAGATTTTTTATGCCTTTTGCTTCTCAACATTAGAGTAGCAACATCTTCAACATTGTATTTTTTCCATACTTTTTTTTTTTTTTTCCCACGAGTTTTTGTATCTGTCTTGTTGAATTGTGATGTTTCAACTCTGAGTTGCATTTTTATTATTAAACCCACTAATCTGGGCTTCTGCCTTTTACGATAGCTGTAAGAAAAAGCTATAGACACTGAAAACAACAACAACAACAACAACAACAACAAAAACATTAGAAAAAGCACTCCAGTGACAGTGTAGATAGGCAGGGCAAACCCTTTTCATTTTGAAGCAGTGAGAGGCCCAGCCTAAAAAATACAACTACCAAGTAATATTCAAACAACTACCCATGGGTTAACTGGCAATTGACTACAGTTGTACGATAACTGTTGTACAATCACTGGTCAGTGCTAGGTGAGCAAAGAAGCCTGTGGCTTCCATGCGTGTCCTCCTTAATGGTGGTCAGCATTAAAGATCAATTGGGTATGTCAGCAGATGTGACATAATCATCTGAAATACTGCATAGGGTAACCAAACAACACAGGAAAACTGGATGGGGTTTAGAAGACCCAGATTCAGCTGACACCCTTCAAACTTTGGAGGCTTGAAAGGCATGGGATTTTTTTTCCACTCATAGCCACTGATATTACCCTGGTAACTATTAGGTGATCTGAAATAAGTTCAGTGAGAAAGGAAGATAGAGGCTGTCAAGATGTCATTGCTCCATAGATGTACTTCAGAAACTGATATGTTCATTCTTATAATAGCTCTGTGACGTAAGGGAAATACTGCTACACAGGTGTAGAGCAAAGAGAGGAGTGAGCTAAATGTCAAGAGATTTAACCACTGTCACAGTGAAGTGCAGAGTACAAATGTTTATTTTTTTTCAGTGAAAATAATATTTCTTTTGCTTTTTTCTTGTTAGAATTTACTCACATAAAAGCGAATTTAAATTCATTTTATTATTTCTTAACAAATTATATCCATGCCACTCTGTAAATAAATAATAAAAAACCCTGTGAGTATAAACACTCAGCAATAGGCTAATATAAAATTTCAGATTCCCCTTTCATGTACTTATGCCACCCAACAATATCAAACACAGACTGCAGTGGTTACAGTGGAATTCCAGAATTATTTGGGTTGGATGATTCCTTCCTTCCTTCCTTCCTTCCTTCCTTCCTTCCTTCCTTCCTTCCTTCCTTCCTTCCTTCCTTCCTTCCTTCCTTCCTTCCTTCCTTCCTTCCTTCCTTCCTTCCTTCCTTCCTTCTTCCTTCCTTCATCCTTTCCTTCCTTCCTTCCTTCCTTCCTTCCTTCCTTCCTTCCTTCCTTCCTTCCTTCCTTCCTTCCTTCCTTCCTTCCTTCCTTCCTTCCTTCCTTCCATTCCTCCCTCCCTCCCTCCCTCCCCTTCCTTCCTTCCTTCCTTCCTTCCTTCCTTCCTTCCTTCCTTCCTTCCTTCCTGTAACATTCTTGTTAGGTAGTACAGGATAACCATTAGACCCAGCCCTAATTTTCCCTTCAGGCTGAACAAACCCAGCTCTCTCAGCCTAGCAGGGTGTTGTGTCTCTTCCTTGCGTACACTGAGACTATCCCCTTGTCCTCTCTTCATGCCCTTCCTAAAGACCCGTTGACCACCACACTACATTTGTGCTGTTTATCTGGGAGAAAAGG